GTTCTACCACTGCCCCTAAACAATAAAAAAAGTTATTAAACTCTCATTTTTCACAGCTTTTTGTTGCTAGTTGGTTCAAATAAGATGTTGACATAAATGCAAAAAAAATAATAGTGCTGCACCCCATTGGTAAACCTTATAATTTTTTAATGCTATTTAATATCATAGCACCAACTTTTGTAGTTGAAACAGCTGACAACATTCTTTTATTTAAATATGAATACTCATAAGGTTAACATGGAAAACTCTAGCTAGATCCACTGGGGCGGAGCCCGAAAGGATTTTTGAGATAAGAATGCGTCTTAATGTTAATCGGGAATGTGAGCTATCATCACACCAAATTTCAGCCCAATCGACCAGTATTTTTCGCATATTTTACTTGTCACAAACATCCATCCATCCAAACTTTCTCACTTATAATATTAGTAGGATTCAACAAATGGCTCAGTAATAGTTTTCTGTTAGCAGATCATTTTCACGGTTTTTTGTTAGTTTTGAACTTAGATTGAAAAGCATCAGTTTGGATCCTATATAGTGATGACATATAGGAGTCATATAATTAATATAGGATGACATTTCAATGCTATGAAATGTTATCCTAAGCCTTTGTCTACAGCTCAATTTTTTGTATATTTGGTACTAAAATACCATCTCCTGACGTTGCAATATATAAGAATGATAGTCTTACAAACTTGTAAGTAATCCCTAATGTGAATAAACAGTGTCACTAAAGCACAACACAAGCTACACTAAAACTAAATATGTTTAACTTTTACATTGAAAGACAAGACTTTTTCTTAAAGGTCACTTCACATAGCTATCTTCTAGTTGAAACCATTATTTTCTTCTATGTCAACCGGTACCATGAACTGTGTGTTAGATAGTTGAGAACTATTCATAAAAAAATTGAGCTGTTGACAAAGAAATTTGTTGAGGGTTTATGCAAGGGTTGTCTGGAAATTAGGGCCTTATGGACAAATAAGGCCAGCCAGCCTCGTTTTGCAAATTTATTTTTTAGTTTTTTACTTCCTAAACCATTAACAATTTTTTTTTAAGTCCATACAACTTTCTCCAAACACATCCTTCAGTTGGCAAAGGAATTCAATCGGGATTGACAAAAACCCCAAGTGTTCCACAAAGGATGGAATCTGATATAATAAAGTTTGTGAGGTAAAAAACAAGCTGTTGTCAGAATTGATCTAGCTCAATTTGCTATTATAGATAATAATCTACTTACGTATCACGTATGCCAGTAGGTGTCAATTATTAATACTTGGTTATGCTGTACATGTTTCAAGCCTAAATCCGGCTCATCTTCAGTAAAAAATGTCAGAAAATAAATGTTAAATAAATAAATGTTCAGAAAATAAATGTCTTAAGGTTATTAAGGACAAACTCAACCATAGCTCTGCTAGAATAATAGAAGCCGACAAATCAAATGCTACGGTTGTTATAAATCAAACAGATCTAGATGACAAAATCAATGCATTCTTTACTGAAAATGGTGTATTTGAGATAGAGGACAAAACGGTTGAATACAATAGAAATCTAAAACATCTTGTAAACAACAATGAAATCATTCATCCGAAAAAACGAAAACATCTGATTAATTTAAAAGCTACTCCACCACAGTTTAAACCTATTGTTAAAACCCATAAAGACGGAATGCCTATCAGGCCTGTCATCAACTGCATCCCAGCTGCATCGTACAATTTGAGTAAATTCCTATCAAATATGATTAAATCCAAACTTGATTTGACATCTGATAACACCAGTCAAAATTCCAAAGAGTTTATAGATTCCTTAAAATCAAACAAACACGACCCAAACAGTATCTTGCTATCAATTGATGTTGATAACATGTACGTAAACATACCTCCCAACGAAGCTAATGATGCGTTAGTTACAAAGCTACAATTGTCTGAAAAATTCTCTGAAAGTGAAATACAAGACATCAAAACAATGGTCGATGAAATAACTAAGCAGAATTATTTTGAATGGAATTGTAAAACATATTGTAACCCAAAAGGACTACCTATGGGTGGTCCATTGTCTGCTCTCCTGGCTGAAATATACTTGCAACAGTTTGAAAAAAAAACAACATTTTAACGCCATCTAATCCTCACTATCGAAAAATTCTGTTCTACAGGGTTAGTAAAAAGTGTGGAGACCCCCTGTTATTTTTTTAACTGCCCATACTAGAAAAACTAAACTCGGCACATCTTTATGACATTTTATGAAGTACTTTTTGGGCATAACCGTCCCTTGGTGTACATCCCCAAAATGGGGATTTTGGGGGAAACTTAAAAATTTCAAATACAAAGACCCATCGAGTGACCCCTCATTTTGAAGGTCCTGGTAAAAGAAGACCAACAACGCAAACTAGAGGTCTTTATCTCGATCCAGTAAAAAATGGCAGCCAATTGAAATTCACAGAAGTTAAATTTAACTTACAGTTTTCCAAGTCTGGAGACCCCCTGTAAATTTTGTAGTGGCTCACACTAGGAAAACTAAACTCTACACACCTATTTGGCATGTTATGAAGTACTTTTTAAGCCTAATATCCACTTGCTTACCAACCCCAAAATGGGGGATTTGGGGGAAAACTCAAAAATTTTAAATTATAAGCCCCATCAAGTGACCTCTCATTTTAAAGGTCCTGGCAAAAGAAAACTAACAACGCAAACTAGAGGTTTCTATCTCAATCCAGTAAAAAATGGAAGCTGATTGAAATTCACAGAAGTTAAATTTAACTTACAGTTTTCCAAGTCTGGAGACCCCCTGTAAATTTTGTAGTGGCTCACACTAGGAAAACTAAACTCTACACACCTATTTGGCATGTTATGAAGTACTTTTTAAGCCTAATATCCACTTGCTTACCAAACCCAAAATGGGGGATTTGGGGGAAGACTCAAAAATTTTAAATTATAAGCCCCATCAAGTGACCCCTCATTTTAAAGGTCCTGGAAAAAGAAAACTAACAACGCAAACTAGAGGTTTCTATCTCAATCCAGTAAAAAATGGAAGCTGATTGAAATCTTTAGAAATCGGCAATAGCTTGCAATTTCATATTGAATCGGCTGCCATATTTTACTGTGTTAAGATAGAGACCTATAGTTTGCGTTGTTAGTTTTCTTTTATCATGACCTTCAAAATGAGGGGTCACTCGATGGGGCTTATCATTTAAAATTTTTGAGTTTACCCCAAAATCCCCCATTTTGGGTTTGGGAACTTATGAGAATTTCAATTGGCTGCCATTTTTTACTTAATTGAGATAGAGACCTCTAATTTGCGTTGTTGGTTTTCTCTTACCAGGACCTTTAAAATGAGGGGTCACTCGATGGGTCTTTGTATTTGAAATCTTTGAGTTTCCCCCAAAATCCCCCATTTTGGGGATGAACACCAAGTGGCGGTTATGCCCAAAAAGTACTTCATAACATGCCATAATGGTGTGCCGAGTTTAGTTTTTCTAGTATGGGCCGTTAAAAAAATAACAGGGGGTCTCCACACTTTTTACTAACCCTGTATAAGAGATATGTTGACGATTCGTTTTTAGTGTTCAGAGGAACTAAACGACAAGCAAACGTTTTCATAAAACATTTAAACAAGATTCATAACTCCATCAAATTTAAAATGGAACTGGAAACCAACAATTGCCTAAATTTCTTAGACATTAAAATAACCAAAGCAAACAATGGCAAATATGAATTTGGCATCTATAGGAAACCCACACAAACTGACTTAGAGATACCGAAAAGTTCCAATCACCCTAATCAATATAAATTAGCAGCTTTCAGATCCATGGTTTACCGACTTCTTACATACAACCTTTGTCCCCGTGAATTTGAAAAAGAAAAGAGCATTATTAAACAGATTGCTTTTAACAATGGCTACAATGTTCAATTAGTTGACAACTTAATTAGGAAAACAAAACAGAACCTACATAAACCGAAAAATCCTTCTACAAATAAAAAATATATCCCCTTCTGCTATGTAAACAAACACTCTGAAACAATTGGCAACATTTTCAAAAATTATGGATTCCACCCTGGATACAAAATCAATTCAGAAACCATCTTCAAGGACAGAAACGATCCATTGATAAAAAGCAAGATAAAGGGGTATATCTCATACAATGCAACGGTGGTGACAAATGTGACAAAAAATATGGCGGGTACACAAATAGGTCATTTTCTCAAAGGTTTAAGGAACATAATGCCTCTAAACAGAATAAACCTACGTCGATTGTTGCACAACATCTTAAGGATAATATAGGTCATAAAATCGAGTTTGAAAAATCATTAAGTATTTTGAAAAGTTGTAGCCAGAAAAACAAAGCTAAAGTATGGGAGGAATTATTTATTTACCAACATGTGAAAGAACACGGCAATGAAACCATGTTAAATACGAGAGAGGAATATTCGGACAAAATCACCTATCAGCTGTATTACGATGTAGATAACAAAACTGGAAATGACAACCACGAGTCAGCTGATACCGTTACGTCACTCTCCCCCTCCCGTGTTCGTGTTCCTCAGTAGGCCTACAAATGTCGTCCGGTCGGGTATTATCTCAACGAGCGTACGCTACAAAAACACATGTAAATAAAAATAGCATGCTAAAACGTTCGGTGTTTGTGTGTATATGTGGTCTGTATATAGTCGACTATCATCTCTCGATGTGAAAATTGTACATAGAAAAATGCTGCTGAAGATGAGCCGTATTTAGGCTTGAAACATGTACAGCATAACCAAGTATTAATAATTGACACCTACTGGCATACGTGATACGTAAGTAGATTATTATCTATAATAGCATATTAAAGGTGTCAAGGCTGATTAATTTGATATCATAGCTCAATTTGTTGTGGTAATAGCTACCGTAGTTGAAGACCTCAGTTCTTTGACAACCCTTGTATTAGCCCAAGAGCTAGAGCAACAAGGATTTAAATAAAATTTAATATTTTGTTTCCTATATTGTTATAAGATATTATATATTACCAATATGATCTGTAATGTTGGTTTGAAGCTCTTCCTTGCTCCTCTCTACTTCCATCTCCAGTCTTCTCACTCTTTCTCGCAGTCTCTCTCTGTCTCTTTCTTCATTTTCTCTCAGCTGGCGTTCCTCAGCCAAACTGGACTCCAACTCCGACACATTGCTTTTATTTGCAGTTAGAGCCTTAAATTAAAAAGAATCCTTGTATTGTCTTCATGGCAAGGAATTTAATGAGACGAGTTTTTAATGGATCTTTTATTCGTGCTTGGAGTAACACAGGAAATTTGGGGGACAAGGGTTTTCTTAAGTACTAGTTTATAAGCGAGTTTATGGTACGGTAAGACCTAGACCAAGGACCACGATAGTTTTTAAATTAGATGTCCCTAGAGGCCAAAAACACTATTGGTTCAAATTTATATATATGTATATGTATATAAATTTAAATACAGGGTGTTTCAAAACTCTCTCCCGAAACTCTGTGGGCATGTTCCTTAGGTCAAAACAAACCAAAAATAAATGTAAACATATGCCCTATCTCGCTTTGTTTTCCGCCTGTCAGTGTGTATGTATTTTTAACTTCAAACTTTGTACGTGTATGATGACCAAAAAATGTGGTTCGGATTCCACTATAAACTGTAGGTCCCTTAGTTGCCATTGTGTGGGCTATTAATTTACAGCTGTGTCTAAGGAATATGTCGGTCTTAATCACTAACAAGACTACAACGTCGCGCCACTCATCCTACACTCATCTCCATTCATACTTGGTTTAAAATACCTAATTTGTATCGTCGCCATTTAAATGAAAAAGTATTGAAAAAAAAATTAGGAACTATTATTTTGCAAAGCATCTGTAATAATCTATGCCGCCTGCCATCTTTCTTATTTAATTTAACCAACATATGTTTTATTAATTATTTATGATTTTGTAAATATTGTCCAACTTGGTAAATATACTTCAAGTTCATTAATTGTCTTTTGAAATTTTAACATTGGTGCCGAAACCCGACTTATAAATTATGTAAAAAAATATGTCAATACGAAAGTCAGGGAGAGAGAAACATCCTCCAAATTGATATTCCCCTGAAATTGTAAATGATAAGAATGATGAACCCATAGAAAAAGATAGTCAACCTCCAAAACCCCCTTCTAAGTCAAAAACCACATCTTCAACTTCCAGCAAGCGCCAGTTACTTCAACTGCAACTAGAAGAAATAGAAGAAATGAACAAACTACAAAAAATGCAGGAAGAAAAAGAAATGCAACGCCAAATAGAATTCGAGGCTAGAGAACTGGAATGACAACATCAAGCTGAAGAACTAGAACGACAGAGGCGAAGAGAGGAGAGGGAAATGGAATGACAACGTCAAGCTGAAGCAAGAGAACTAGAACATCAGAAGCGTCTGCTGAGAGTAAGGACCGAACTTGAGTCTGCCTCGGTCTTGGGAAGTAGTCAGTCCGCCTCAGTCTTGGACAGTCGTCATTTGGAAGTTAATGAAGACCCTGACAAGGTAAGCTTCAATATTCCTACAGTTGAGGAGGAATGTAATGTCAAAGTCAAGAGGTGGCTGAATGAGGAACCGTCAGTTCCTTTGACACCGTCAGCCATCGTGTCCACGGCTATTGGTACTGATATTGATAGCTGACCCCTTTTCAAAAGCTATAAATTCATCCAACCCCAACCAACCTGTCTCTTGCCGACAGTGTCTTCCATCCTTCAGCGGGAAACCAGACGAATAGCCCATGTTCTATTCCTGTTACAATAAGACTAAACACCTTTTTAATGACGATGAAAACCTTGACAGAATAAGAAATTGTCTGGAGGGCGATGCCTTTAAAATGGTAAAACCTCTATTTATATCAGGTAAAAATTTGAGTACAGTAATGAAAACTTTACAAATACGTTTTGGACGTCCAGAGTTTATAGTCGAGTCGATGTTGAAGAAGGCGCGTGTGCTCCAACCAGTCAAGGAGGATGACGCTGTCAGCCTTATTGAGTTTTCAACAACTCTTATAAGCCTGACCTCTACCGCAGAGTCGTTGGATTTGGATATGTACTTAATAAATCCTCTCTTGTTGAATGAACAAGTAAGCTCCCCTATACTCTGAAGTACAGGTGGGCTGAACATGTAAATAGCATGCATTTAGATACACCTACTGACCTGAAAGTATTCTGTAACTGGCTTGAAAACCAGTGTTCCATTATGAGTATTTATTTTCGTCCACCTGAGGAGACAGCGCAGAAGAGAAGTGACCCTAAACAAGTTTTGACTAATTCGCCCAACGAAAACGTTTGCATGTTTTGATCGGAGAGTCATGCAACCGATAAATGTAAGCTTTTCAGAAAAGCAGAAGTCGCGCAGCGGTGGAAGATGATAATTGAGAAAAAACTGTGTTTCTTTTGCTTTTGTCGTCACCACATCAAATTTTTTAAGTTTTGTAAGAATTAAAAATTCCACAAGGTTTCTTAAATTTTGTAAGAAACCTTGTGAAATCAATGGGTGCAAACTATCCCACCATCGCCTTCTGCATACTGACAGTGCCTCGAAAAATGCCCAAGAGATCATCCAGGACAGAGTACAGAAAACTTTCAGGCAGGAAGGTAAATCAAAAGAAGAAATTATAAGCAATCACTCGGTAAATAACCGTGTTTTACTAAGAACATGTCCAGTAACGTTATATGGTCCAAGCTGTCAGATCGACACATATGCACTTTTAGATGACGGTTCAACCATATCTCTGCTAGATTCTACTACAGCCGATAAATTAGGCATCAGTGGTAGCATTGAACCCCTTACCACTTGTTGGTCAAATGCAACTAAACGTTTTGACCCAACGTCCAGACGAGTTGAACTTAAAATAAAAGGGCTCTACGAAGAAGAAGTTTTAACATTAAATAATGTAGGAACTCAATCACCTCTATATTTACCCCAACAGTCGTCTGACTCAGTAAAGCTTCGTGAGAGATGGCCTCATTTAAAGTCAATCGATCAACCTTTACCAACATCTCATGCCAAACCTACCATTTTGATAGGTCAAGATAACTGTGACTTGTTATTGACCAGAAAAGTTATCGAATGCCCGCCAAATGCTTCCGTACTGTTATGGAGCTACCTAGGGTGGTCAATGCATGGCAAGTGTCCAGAATTTTCTGGGCGTGTTGACAATTTCACCTTATTGTCCTTTGATCACGACAGATTACATGATTTGGTGAAAGGTTCCTTTGAAATTGACAACTACAGTGCATCTCCAGTAGAAAACAAATCAATAAAATCGGTACAAGACGAACGTGCAATGTCAATCTTGGAAAAACAACGAGGAAAATAGGAGAACGTTATGAATCTGGCTTGTTGTGGAAATCAGATGATTTTAAAAATCCCTCGAGTTATGATAAAGACTAAAACACATTGAAGGGAAGATGGCAAAGGGTCCTTCCTTTAAAGACGAATACACAAGGAAGATTGCCGACTACAAGGAAAAAGGGTATATTCAAAAACTAAGTGAAGATGAGGCAAGTATTTTAAATGATCATACTTATTATCTACCTCATTTCGGAGTTGTAAACCCCAATAAGCCCAACAAATTATGATTGGTCTTTGACGCAGCTGCAAAGTCAAACGGTGTATCATTTAATGACGCTCTTCTTAGTGGACCTGACCTTTTGAATCCATTACCAGCTGTTCTCGTAAAATTTCGTCTGGGAAAATTTGCCGTCGCTGGTGATATTAAAGAAATGTTCCATCAGGTACGCATAAGGAGAGAAGATGTAGATTCACAGTGATTTTTGTAGAGGCAAAACACGAATGATCCTCCAGATACGTATGTAATGGAAATGATGACATTTGGATCAACCTGTTCTCCAAGCACTGCTTTATATGTAGTGAACGAAAATGCCAAAAGTTTCTCATCCATCTACCCTGAAGCTACTAAATCAATTCTCACTAAGGAATACATGGACGATTTATTAGACTCTGTCAATTCTGAGGAAGAAGCAAAGACTCGAGTGAAAGAAATAATGGAAATTCACAAATCAGATGGATTTAAAATTTGCAATTGGCTATCAAATTCCAAAGATGTTTTGTCTGGAATTCCTGAAGAACTAAAATCAAATTCAACTAAGCAATTAAAACATGATAGCAGTCTTCCCACTGAACGAGTTCTTGGAATGTGGTGGGATTCAGAAAGCGACAATTTCGTATTTCATCACAATGCAGAAAAGTTTCAAAAAATGGAATCAAGTTATCCAACTAAACGTGAGATTTTGAAGGCTGCGATGTCTATCTTTTATCCTTTGGGACTAGTCACCCCTACTACAATCAAAGGTTGAATATTTCGAATATTAGTGCAAGAGATTTGGAGAACAAAAACAACATATGGGATGAAGTACTAACAACAGGACTTACTAAGAAATGGCAAGAATGGTTGGAAGAAGTTAAACAACTACAATATTTTACCATTCCGAGATGCTATTTCAAAATCCTTATGATAAATGAGGTTGAGCTTCATGTCTTTGTTGATGCAAGTGAAGAAGCGTACTCCGCTGTTGGATATCTAAGGCATAAGAATACTAACGAGAATACTGGATACAACACTATGTTGGTTATGTCGAGGGCAAAGGTGGCTCCTCTAAAACCAACTACCATACCAAGACTGGAACTACAAGCTGCTGTCCTTGGATGTAGGCTTGTTAAAACAATTATACAAGACCTAGACATCAACATCATCTGAAAATTATTTTGGTCAGATTCTGTTACAGTGTTACATTGGATAAAATCTGACCCGAGAAGCTTTAAACAATTTGTTTGTAACCGACTTGTGGAAATCCTTGAAGTTTCACAAGCTGATGAATGGAAGTATGTGCCATCAAAATATAACCCTGCTGATGTCGCTACGAGAAGCAACCAGAAATTCACTACAAGTACTCATGAATTTTGGACTTAAGGCCCCGAGTTTCTAAAATACGACTCAAGTCATTGGCCACAGCAACCGACAACCTTGCAAACAAAAAACAGTGAAGAGGTGAAACAAATGTTTGTTGGGTTACTCAACGAAGACAAAGATGTTTTCAATATTGAGCGATTTTCTTCCTGGAATAAGGTAACACAAGTAACTGCATGTGTTCTGAGATACATTGGTATATTGCAATCCAGGATAAAAAGAAATGACAAAGACAGACTGAATAAGAA